GCCGGCGGCCCGCTGCCCTCCTGCCCCACGCCCAGCCCGTGACCCCCCTCTAGCCGGCGGCCCGCTGCCCTCCTGCCCCACGCCCAGCCCGTGACTTGCATTCCTTCCAGGAGCTGCAGCAGCTGGTGCGATGCACGCGGCAGGAGGCGTGGGCCCGTCAGCAGGCCTGGGAGCACGAGGCTGAGCGCCTTCGCATTGAGATCGTGACGCTGCGGGAGGCACTGGAGGAGGAGGCTGCGGCCAGGGCCAGCCTGGAGGGGCAGTTGAGGGTGCAGCGGGAGGAGACAGGTGAGGCAGGCGGAGATAAGCCCCTTACTCCCCACTCCCAGGAAGGGTGACCTCCCCATGGGGACCAGGCGTGAGCCGGGAGGGGGTAGAGGACGCAGCCTGAGAACTCACCTTGATCTCTCTTTCCTTTCCACACAGAGGTGTTAGAGGGTGAGTATGGGCTGGAGCCCGACCAGGGTGGGGTGGGGAAGGGGAGCGGGTACGGGCCTGACACTTGCCCCTGTGCCTGACTTCCCAGCTTCCCTATGCAGCCTGAGGACGGAGCTGGAGCGGGTCCAGCAGGAACAGAGCAAGGTGAGAACAAAGGGCCGACCTGGAGTGATGGGGAAGGGGCTGCAATGTGGATAAGACCCTGACCAGCTCTTCCTGCCTTTTATGTCTCCCTCAGGCTGGGCGGCAGGAAGCACTGAGGCCACCATCAGCCTCGGGCCAGATGGAGGAGGTCAGAGCTTGGGTGGTATAAAAGGGGCCGCGGCCTCCAGATATCCCATTCCTTTGGCAACGTGCCTTCCCATCTGGCTCGAGGATGAGCCAGGGCCCCAACTCAGCGTCTTGTCTCCCCAGGTCCCACTCACTGACCTCTTCTCAGAACAGAGGGCCAAGGTGCTGCGGTTGCAGGCGGAGCTGGAGACCAGTGAGCAGGTGCAGAGGGATTTCGTACGTCTCTCCCAGGCCCTGCAGGTATGGCGTGTCCCCTCTCCACCAGGCTGCATGACTTGTCCTGGGTCTCACAAGGACAATCCCTCTGTGGTAGAAGTCTTCTTCCTCCTTCTGGGGCTTGTACGGCCCTTCCCCCTGAGCTATTGCTCTGAGAAGGTTGACTGTCTTTTGTGTACATTCTTAGTCATGTGAAGGCCTTAACACAGGGCCTGGCACCCAGGTGTGTGATGTGTTTGTTACATAAACCCCACCAGTGATCAGCCCTCCCAGACTTCCCCGGGCTGCTCTCTTACGACCCATTTCCTCCTTGGAAACCGAGACCTCTGTTGGGTGGGAGAGGTGGGGTGGCCCTCACCCCTAGGTGGGCTGGCAGGTCAGGAGGGGCTGGGTTTCCCCACTGAGGGCCCTTTGTGTCCCCCGCACGCCCCCATAGGTACGCCTGGAACAGATCCGCCAGGCAGAGACTCTGGAGCAAGTGCGCAGCATCCTGGATGAGGCACCCGTCAGGGATGTCAGGGACATCAAGGACACCTGAAGGGCCAGGGCGAGAACCTCCCCCATTCCCACCCACCGGGGAGAGACTGCCTTTCTTCACTCCAGAACCTGAGGCCTGGGCTTTGGGGCTTGGGATAGAGTCTTTGCCCTCTGCAGGCCTGGGGCCGAGGTCATGGGGCCATCGCTGCCCACCCCCACCCCCAGCACCTCCTCCCAGGGGTGGCCGAGCCTTCTGCTCTCAGGGATGACACCTGGGTGAGGGTCGCAGCCCCCTCCCAGAACCAAAGGTGTAGGCTCAGCCCTGCAGCTTTCTGGCCGCCATGCTGGCTTCTGGGCCCCAGCCCTCCTCTTCCCCCTGCCCCCCAGTCAAACTAACAGCCCATGTCTGTTAACCACCTGTCCCCTTCCCGAGGCACAGCCCTGCCCAAGCTGTATTTGGTGGCTGGAAGTCATGGAGTCGTGGTCTTTCTCTCTCTCTCTCTCATACATACACACACACACACACACACGCTTACACACACATGTCCTGGGACAGGCAGCTGCTTTCTGGACTGCATGACACTAAGATGCTTGTCCACAGGGACGCAGCCCAGACCACAGGAAGTGCTCGGAGGCGAGGCTAGACTTTTCGGTCATTTATTTTCAATAAATAAGCAGCTCAGATCAATCGGTCGCCTTGTCCCTGCAAACCCCACGAGGTTGGGAACGGGGAAGGTTTTACAAGGTTAAAAGGGAGGAGCAGGTTGCTGAGAGTGGGGAGGGGAAGTGATGGGCATCGAGTTTATAAACAGAAACATGGGAGGGGGAGTGGAAGGGTGTGGGGTGGGTCTGTGCCACAGCTCTGGCTGAAGATGCATTGCTATCAGGGTGGGGAAGAAGGGGGCAAAAGGACTGACTGGTTACTTCCTTCTGTCATCTTCCGGATCTGGAAAGAGATAGAAAGGATGAAGCAGGTGGGGGCAGGGGAGAGGGAAAGTTCCCTGCAGGCTCCCGGCACACTCGCCCGGAGGCTCACCCCGCCCTCATTGCTCTCCTACTCGCCTGTGTCCCCAGCCCCCACTTGCCCAGCCGTAGCAGCAGACAGCTCAGTGCCCAGCCAGCGCAGCGCAGCGCAGCCTAGTCGACCCTGGTGCCTGGCCTGGGCGCCGCCCAAGGTGGGGGCCATCCAGGAGCGCAGTGCTGACTCCCAGTCAGGGAGCCACTGCCCACCCCCATTTGGAAGCACAGTGGGTGGCAGCAGCGGCAGCAGTGGCTCCAGGAGGAGCTGTGAGTGCAAGTGACCTTGGGTGTGGAGGGGGTGAGGGGCAGGCGGCTGGCGGAGCAGCTAAGGGCAAGGGCAAGAAGGGGACAATACCTGTGACACGGATTCAAAGAGATGGAGGAGGGGGAAACAGGTTATCCTATGGCCAGAGAGGACAGAGAGACAGCCGTTACCAAGGGAGGGAGGAGTAGCGGCTGAGGAGTGAGGAGGTTTGGGGATGTCATGGAGACTGTCTGTCTGCACCAGGAGCAGGCAGAGTGGGGAGAGTATGTAAGAAGGGCCTGGGGTGCTCCTCCCGGGCGGACCTGTGTCCAAGAACACGCCCACCTGGAAAGGAAGTGGGTGCGCGGGCACAGCGCAGAACTGTTCCCCGGGTCCAGGGGCTTACAAGCCTTTGAGGGCTCCTCAGAGGGGGAGCTTCTTACCTTCCAGATAGTTCCGAGCAATGAACTTGAGGCTCTCATCGAGCCCGATGACTGGAAGTGAGAGCTTGAGGACCATAAGCCAGTGAGCAAGGTCCAGGGCCTGGAGCTTGAAGATCATCTGTGGGGGAAGGGGGAGCAGAAAGGAAGGAACAGTACCCCGCTTAGGAGGGGGTGGAGAGGGGGCCAGCAGGCCCAGCACTGCCCCTACCTGAGCCCACCCTTTTACTGTTCTCCACACTTCTAGCTGTAGTGGTCTTGGCCCTACAAAGGCACCCTGTGGGGGTGGGGGCAAGGTGGCCGCTGGGCTGAAGGAAGCTCACCGGCAATGGGTCAATGTAGAGGATGAGGAAATGGAGGGACATGGAGAGGCAGATGGAGCCCAGTAGCCAGATGTTCACCCAGGGTGGCATCCGAACAAGGGACTGGTTCTCAGAGAGGCTGCAGGGAAACGACCATGGAGCCAAGAGTGGGAGACACAAGAAAAAAGAAGTGGTGAGGAGGATGCAGGCCAGAGGGCTCAGGGCAAAGGCAGTGAGCTCCGGGGTAGTTGGCAGGACAGGGTGGGCGGCCCTACCTGTTGAGAGCATTGCACATCTCGATAGTAACCAGCACAGACAAGGCCATGGTCATGGGCTGAGGGGCCTCAAAGACCTCACAGTCCACACCAGCAAAGTGGGCGCTGTCCTCGGTGCACTTCATAAAGTGAGTCTGCGGGGGGAGAGGAGGGGCGGGACACTAAGCCCCATGGTAGTTCCACGCAGACCCTCCCAGTTCCACCCCTCCGATCAGCTCCCCGCCTACCAGCTGGTGGTAGGTGACATGAGGCCCATCCTCTGCATACAGGAACCACCAGGCAGCTGCTCCCACAGTAGCTGCACCCACATAGCCTGTGGTAGAAGATGGGAGTCGGGGGTCAGGACCGGGAGTTGGGAGGTGTCAAGAGGGCCTCACATGGCTGTGAACAGCTGGTTGAGGACGAGGCCCATCAGGGCAGCTGCACTGAGGGAGCTGGTGTGCTGGATGGGGGTCAGTCCCCAGGGCTGGGAAGGACTGTGGGGGTGGGGGTTGCATCCCAGTCTGCTCACCCCCAATTGCCATGTAGCGGAAGAAGAGCCAGCCACTGATGAGGGGCTCCCTGGGGCTGCGGGGGGGCCGGTCCATGATGTCCAGGTCTGGTGGGTTGAAGCCCAGGGCCGTGGCCGGGAGCCCATCTGTCACCAGGTTGACCCACAGAAGCTGCACGGGGATAAGGGCCTCAGGCAGCCCCAAGGCGGCAGTCAGGAAGATGCTGCAGGAAAGGAGGTGGTTGGGCATGGTCCTGCTTCCAGACCTGGGTTATGCCCAGCCAGCTCCCGGTCATCCTGGAAGGCCTGCCTTAGCCACTCACCAGACCACCTCGCCCACGTTGGAGGAAATGAGGTAGCGGATGAACTGCTTCATGTTGTTGTAGATGGCGCGGCCCTCCTCCACAGCAGCCACAATGGTGGAGAAGTTGTCATCTGCAAGCACCATCTCTGAGGCAGTCTTTGCCACAGCGGTGCCGGATCCCATGGCAATACCAATCTCAGCCTTCTTCAGGGCGGGGGCGTCATTGACGCCATCGCCTGTCTGAGAGGAGAAAGTGGGACTCAGGGTCCCTCTCCACAGCCCCCTTCTGGAAACCTATCACAGGGCCTGAATCCCTCCAGTGCATACCCCTCCCGATGGCTCTCCTGTTTAGCCCCTCCCTCTTGTACCCCCAACTCCCCGAGGTGTTCATCTCCAAGGATGCAAAGAAGACTACCCCAGTGCCAGGTCCATGTGGCCCGGCCCAGCAGCCCCTTGTCTTCTCACCATGGCTGTGATCTCGTCAAAGGACTGCAGATATTCCACAATCTTGGACTTGTGGGAGGGCTCCACACGAGCAAAGCAGCAGGCACAGCGGCAGGCCTCCCGCTGCTCGGCCAGGGGCAGGTCATCGAACTCCCGGCCGGTGTAGGCACGGCCCGTCACCTCCTCGTTCTCGCCGAAGATGCCAATTCGTCGACAGATGGCGATGGCTGTGCCCTTGTTGTCCCCCGTGATCATAATCACTCGGATTCCGGCATCACGGCACAGCTGGATGGAGTCTGTGACCTCCTTGCGGGGTGGGTCCAACATGCCCACCACGCCAACGAAAGTCAGATCCACCTGGGGAGACAGAGCAGAGCAACCGGGTCAGGGAGGGACTCGGAAGATGAGCCAGGGAGGAAGCTGGGGGAGATGGGAGAAAGGCCAGTGAGCTGGGGGAGAGCCTGCGCCCTGGACTTGCAACCTCAGGGAACTGCTGTTCAAACCTCAGCAGGGCCTCTTGGCTCAGGGAAGGTATGTTTCCTGCTCATCTACGTATGCACAGGCCCCAGCAGGGCCAGGCACATCGCAGGTGCCCAGACAGTGTCTTCATGGGAAGTACAGGAGCTGGAAGTCAGGGGTGGTTGCTGCTGTCAACAACTTTGAAAGAATCCCTTTTATCCGCTGGGCCACAGCTGCCTCTATAAAATGAAGGGAGTGGACTGTGGTGCTATTCAGAGTGCCGGCCCACTGCAAGACCAGCAGCTAGGCCAGAATGCAGATGAACACACTGCTTCTGCATTGAGAAGGGCTGGCGTGCTCACTGCAGAGCTGACAGCCCTGCTGCTGCAAGCTCCTCACCTCACCGCGGACTGGCCCAGAAACACACTAGAGTAGCAACAGGATAGCTGATCCGAAGGCTCTATCAAGCTCTAACGTCCTATGTTCTATGACCCATGATAAGGAGGGATGGGTTTGGCTGATGAAGTAGAATGTGACAAGGCTGGTGGAGGGTGTGAGGCAGCCGACTGGAAAGCTCATTCCTCATCGACTCTGGGACACCGGGAGGCTGCCATCTGCTCACCTCATACTCAATGAACTTGGCAGAATCTTCCAGGAACATGTCCTCTCGCTTTGGGGGGGTATCCCGGGTGGCCAGGGCCAGGCAGCGCAGGGTGTCCCGGCCAGTGCCCCACTCCTTGATCACTGACAAGATCTTGTCCTTCACTGGCCCTGTTATCGGCACACGGGTTGTGCCAACTCGCACATAGTTACAGCGGTCGATGACCCCCTCAGGGGCACCCTAGGAGACAAAAGCAGCAATCAGAGACCACTGCCTTCTAGCGCACAGTGAGGAGGTGGAGGTAGGAGAGGGGTTCAGGGTTAGGAAGAATTGAGGAGTGAGACATTTATGATTTCTGACCTTGACAAACATCTTGTTGCCCACAGCAGCCCGGGATTTGGCTGGGGAGCAATAGACAGACATGGACTTTCTGTCTCTGGAGAACTCTAGTGTGAATTCCTTCTTCATTAGCTGGCGGATCACCTGAGAGGGAGGAGACACGGGGCCAGAAACCAGACATGAGATTGGTGGGAAAAGAGTGATGATGCTGTCTTGAAAAAGAAGGAGTCCCAGACCTCCTAGAACAGTCAAAAAAAGATCTGGAGGTCAAAGCAGACCCCAGGCTGAATCTGAGACTAAAGCTAAGTCTGGTGCCACGTTACAAATGGAGAGAATTCCAAGGCTAGTGCTGCCACCGTGCTTATAGTGTCCAGTCTACAGCACAGCAGAGATAGGATGGCCTAGTGGGGCACCGCCCAATAGAACGTTCAGGGATGATGGAAATGTTCTGTAATCTGCACTGTCCAATACGATGCAACTGAGCAACGGCTACTGTGCACCCGAAATGTGGCTAGTATGACTGAAGAACTGCATTTTTGCTTTTATTTAATTTTAATTAATTTAAATTTACATAACCACATATGCTGTTGGACAGTGCTGCCTAGCTCCTGGCAAGCAGTACTAAGCACTCCACAAACATGAGTGCTTTCTGACCAAATACATCATGGATAGTTCTCCGCATCAATACATTTCTATATATATTATCATCTGTAATAGTAGTCCATTGTATGGCATTGCTTTAATTTTTTAAAATAAATCCTCTATTGATAGACAGTTAGATGGTCTTCATTTTTTTTGTTGTTAGGTTAAGGAAAATAGCAACAAGCACCTTGCATATACAAAACTAAAAGAGATGTGGGGACCATAACACCCCAGAGGATCTCAATTAGACCAAGACCCAAATCTCTTGCCATTGAGTCGATACCAACTCATAGAGACGCTATAATACAGAGTAGAACTGCCCCATAGTGTTTCCAAGAAGCGGCTGGTGGATTCGAACTGCCGACCTTTCGGTTAGCAGCCGTATCATTTAACCACTATGTCACCAGGTCTCAATGTAGACAGAAAGGACTTAGAGTGAGAGCAACAGACCCGAATGTGTATGTGTTTATCTGGACAAGAGGGAATGGAGGAAAGGCTTGTGGAGTAGTCCTTTCCTGTAACCATAGATCAGGACTTGAGATCTGATGAAAGCAAGTGAACTTCTGAGGACAAATGGATAATAGTTGAAGCTGAGGCTGCCCCAGGATGGGTCATTTGTGGATTCTGAGCCCAGCTCCATCCATTTCAACTAAGGACACAACAGGAAGACACGATCTTGAGATTCATCAAGGGACACTGTAGCAGAGAGCGTGGTAGTAGGCGTTACCGAGGGTCAGCCAGGCCAAAAAAAAGCTTCGAGAGGGCCGTTCCCCTGTGCTGGTTGAAGAGGTCCCCACACAGGACACAGGCCCTGTCTCTGCCTCCTAAGATTCCTTGAGTCTGTGTGATGTGAGATGAAGAAGCAATGTGGGGAGGAGTCTCCAGACTCACCGAGTTGCAGGCGTTGGCCCTCTCCACCTTCGAGAGGCTTCTCACATCAGTGTTGAATACATTCATCTTCTCCACCAGGGTGGTGAGGGCCGTCTCGGTGGCCTCACCGACCTTCTCATAGATACCTTTGGCCTGAGATGGGGGGGGGGGAAGAGGAAGTAGGTGCCCCAGGCTCCTCGAGCCTTGCTCCCATCTATCATACCCATCTTCCACCTAGAGCTAGAAGGGAGCAAACCACTCCCTTCCCATTACACTGAAGGGGATGATGGACCCACCTCCCACAGCCCCTTCCTCCTGGCCCGGAGGAGCCTTGGCCCCTGAGCCAACTGGAAGGGGTAGGAGGGGCTTCGTTGGAAGTGGGGAGGTTACCTCATTGAAGTCCAAGGAGGAGTCATTGCAGAGGGCACAAATGGTGGCCAGCTCCACTAGCCCATCATACTGCCCTGCCCGCACTGGCTTATCATTCTTCAAGCTAGCAGTGGGGTGGGGAGGGAGGAAGGAAAAGATACAGGTAGAGAAGAACAGGAATGAGATGCAGAGTGGGTGATGAGGAAGGACAGTTGGGGAGATGGCAACCACCTTGGAGATGAGGTAGGAGAGAGAATAAGGTTGGGGGAGGAAGAGGAGAGAGAAAGGAAGCCAAAACTAGAGGGAGGGACTGGGGAAAGGCAGAGTGCGTGTAGGGGGATGAGGAACTGGGAGAAGACCTCTGGAGACTTACACTTCTCCTTCTGGAGCATAAGTGGAACCAGTGATGGAGAACTCATTCAGAATGCAGGAGTCCCCGTCTATCTTGTCGATGATAAACATCTGCGGGGGGAGGGCATACACACAGATGTCCCAACTCCCCGTATCCTGAAGGCAGTCATCTGCATGGAGGGGAGGCCAGTGCTATCTGCTAGCCTCTCTACACCTAGCCCTCTAAGCAGACTTCCTGCCACACCTTCTCCCATCTGCCTTTCCTTCTTCTTCCCTGATTTCCTCCCCTGTTCCCCTGCAATCATGTTCTGTATTGGTGGCTTTAAAGCAACACTGCAGGCCGTGGCTAGGGGCTTCTTTGGATAGTTAACACAGTAAGGTGTGGTAGGGACTGCTGAACTGGAAAGCACATTGCCTATCTACAGCTCCAGCTGCTTGTGGCCAGCTTTTCCAGTTTTGCAGGATGAGCTCAAAATTCAGGTTATTTTCCTGTGAAATCTCTTGACTTTCCAGTGTGGGCAATTCATCGGTTTTTGTAAAACATGAAGCACAAGAGGAAGTGAGTTCCACAAGCCTGTAGCCTGGTTTGGAAGCCTGTGCTATAAGAGGCATAGAGAACCCATGATTCCTCAGGGGGAGCAGCCAGCCCTGAAGCCAGAGCAGCACGGATGGGACTAGGCTTTTCATTCATGAGAAGAGAAATGGCCCGGATGTGCTATAAGACAAAAGGGTTCTGTGGCCACATGAGTTTGGGAAACTTGGGGTTAAACCAAGTGGAATCTGCTCCCTTTCCAGTTGGCCTTCTCTGAAGCTTGCAAGTCGGCTTGGTAACTATATTTCAATCATTGGTTTCCTCTGTAATTCTATGTATTTTTTAAACAGAATCCTATGTATTTTATTTTGCGCATTTAAAATATTATACTGAGAAGAGGCCCAGAATGCCAAAGGGTCCGAGGCACAGAAAAGATTACAAGGCCTGGTTTAGGAAATGATGCTCAAGATTAGCATGGCCAAGCTCCCCAGGCCCCACACGGAGTGAACATTCTAGAGTGCAGCCTGGTGCAGAGGAAGGAGCTCTGGAGCTAGACAGACTTGGCTTGAAACAACTCTGCTACTTAGGAACTGTGCGTCTTTGGGCAAGTCACTGAATCTCCCGGAGCCTCAGTTTCCTCCTCTGAAAAAATGGGATTACTGAGACCCTCCCCTCCTGGGGCTGTTTGAGGATTAGAGATCACATCCAGCAGCGTCTGGTGCACAGAAGGTGGCTCTAGCGAGGGGACTGGCTGGGGCAGAAGAGTCCTCTCTGATCGCTCTTCTCACTGGCAGGATGGTGCTCTATCTACCCTGTGAGCATTTCCCAGGCCAAGAGAACCTGCCACTGATGAGCAGCACCCTATCTCGGGGGGGCCCGTTTCACCCTCAGTGCTCTAAGTGGATGTGCTGTGCATGTGGCCTGACCTTGCAGACAGACATCTGGTTGGTGGTGAGGGTGCCTGTCTTGTCAGAACAGATGACAGAGGTGCAGCCCAGGGTCTCTACAGAAGGCAGGCTCCTCACAATCGCATTCTTCTTTGCCATCCGGCGGGTGCCCAAGGCCAGGCAGGTGGTGATGACTGCAGGAAGACCTGTGGGGAGGGGGTAAGGGGTGAAGGGGCAATGTAGGAGAGGGAGGGAGGGAGACCTAGTGTGGCCCCCAAAGACATCAGGTCCTAATCCTTGGAACCTGTAAATGCTACTTTATATGGAAAAAAGCTCTTGGCAGACGTGATTAGCAAATGGGAGGAGAAATAGAGGCTGCCATACCTTCTGGGATTGCAGCCACAGCCAAGGCCACAGCAATCTTAAAGTAGTAGATGGCACCACGGAGCCAAGAGCCACCATGGATGGGATCATTGAAGTGGCCAATGTTGATAAGCCAAACAGCCACGCAGATGAGGGAGATGACCTTGGAGAGCTGCTCCCCAAATTCATCCAGTTTCTGCTGCAGAGGGGTCTTTTCCTGTTCTGTGGCAGCCATTTGGTCACGGATCTTCCCAATCTCGGTGTTCACACCGGTGGTGGCCACGATGCCTAAGGCCTTGCCAGCTGCAATGTTGGTACCCTAGGAAGGTGAAGAAGAGGCAGGGAATCAGGCAAGAGGTGACCTTCGTGCCCCATCCGACCACAGGGAGGGCTGCCCATGAGGCCATCCCCTCCACAGGCCTTCTCTTCTTAGGCTGCCATGTCTCTGCTAAACCAGAGCCTCTGTGGCTCGAGTGCATGACAGCTGGCCCTGGATTGCTCACCGAGAAAAGCATGTTCTTCTTGTCCTGGTTGACAGCTCGGGGGTCAGGAACAGGCTCTGTGTGCTTGATGACAGAGACAGACTCACCTGTGGAGAAGGGCCCAAGGGGTGTTCAAATGACATCATGCCCCTTTTCCGTACCTCCCGCCCCTAACTCCCTCCCTGCTCAGGCAGGGCAGGGCCTGGTAAGGATCGAGCAACAATCCTGGAGGAAGTCAGAATTCTGGGGGAGGCTGCTGGAGGGAAAGGGGAAATCCATTATACTTAGAGAAAAAAGACCTTGGCCTGAGTCCCAGCAAAACCACTTACAAGCTGCATGACTTTGGATCACTTAACCTCAGTTTTCCCCTCTGCAGAATGAGGACAACAAACGTGCACGTCAGAATAAGGTCTTGGTGACAATGAAATAAGCTGGAGTATGTGAAAGTGCACTGTCAACTGCAGAGCAGCTTCCTGGGAGGCAGTGGCCCCCAGTCCCAGGAGCTTGCCTCCCTCATCCTAATAGCAGGGGCTCCAGAATCAGCCCAGAGCAGCCCCAGCCTCACCCTCCTGGATCACAGGGAATGCTCACTGGCTCTTTGCCTTCTCCCTCCCACTGGAGAAACAGAAGCATCATGGTTTTAAGTGTATCAGAACCCTCCATCTTGTCCTAGAATCTTAGGGTTCCTCGTTTGGGGACTTTTGAAGATACCGAAGGAGACAGGATAGTTCTCTGGGTGTGCATGTCCACATACTAATGTGGAAGGGATGGGTAGATGGCCCCAGGGAGAATGGGCATGGATGTCTGTCCTCTCCCATGACCCTTGTGTTTCAGGCTTGTGACAGAGTGGACAAAGTTGAGCAATGCGGAGATTGCTGCTACCAGGGAGCTGAGGGAGGCCTGATTGCTGGATGTTCTCTTTTGCCCATCTGAATTCCATCCCTGTCTGTCCACCCAGCTCCTCCCTCATCAGATCCTCATCCCCACACCCACTAGCTCTATTCTCCCAGGAACCCAGACCATCAGACCTGTGAGGATGGACTGGTCAACCCGGAGGGTAGTGGATTTGATGGAGAGGATGCGGATATCTGCAGGGACTTTGTCCCCCACTGTGAAGAGAAAGGAAAAGAGAAGGGTCAGCTGGGAAGGGAGTTTTCTTCCTGCCTAACTCACATTCTGTCTAACTCACACTCATCCTCCAGGTCTCAGGAGGTCACCCTAGGCTAGGGGGCCCCACCCGTGGGCTTGAGTCAAATCCTCGACCTGTGCTCCCGTAGCCCCAGCAAGCATCCCCCGTCTTAGCACTCTTGCCCACGGTCCCTCCGTGTTGAATGCCTTCCTTCCCCACCGGCCTGGCGTGCTGCCCGGCACGGCATATAGTACGTGCTCAATGAACGTATGCTGAGTGACTGCAGGGAAAATTAGAGGCACTCCAGCAGAACACTGAGAAACCAAAACTGAGAATGGGGAGAGGGGGAGAGAGCAAAACAGAGAAGGAAACAAGAGTGAAAAATGTAGGGGGAGGGAGAGGCAAGGAAGGAGCTCAGAGGAAACGGTGAGAGGGAGAGAAGCGGTATGAGGGTAGAGAACGAAGCGGGAGCCAGCACGCACAAACGCACGCACGCATATGTGCACAATGCAGGCACTCAGCACTCACACGTGTATGCACTCAGGGAGCAGGGAAGGGGGGCCTGAAGGAAACAGGCGCAGAGGGGCAGGAAAAGCAAGACACACTGGAGCTAAGAGATGGAGGGGAAAGCCGAGAGAAACACCGGGATGCAGTGGAGTCGGTACATGGAATTGTCTTGGGGATGCTGTCGAAGAGGCAGATGCCCTGCTAGACTCAGAGACCTTTGGAGGAGGCTGGCAACTCCTCCCAGGGCCTCTGCCTAATTCCACTCTGGTCCAAGGATGGTGCTGGGGACAGGGTTCAACTACTTTCCTTTCCCTCATTTCCTAAGGTTCCTCTTCCTGGGCCAGAGGAAGTGGAAGGAGGAGGGAGGTGGGTGATGGAGTCAGGCGGAACACCCTGTCACCCAAGCCAAGGTGATATTTATAGACATTCATGGTGCTGTCTCCAAACTGTCACCTCAGCAGCAGGGTGGCCCTGTGATGGACATGGGGGTCTTCAGCCTGCCCTGCCCCCCCTCTCCTCAAGCTTCCTGTTGAGATGACTCGGGTGTCTGGTGGAGGAAGGAGGCCTAGAAAGACACACTCCTCCATGCCTGGAGATGTGGGAGGCAGGAGCAGGGCAAATATAAAATCCGCTGAAGGGGGCAGAATCCCAGTAATCTTAGCCACCCAGCCCCCACCCCTCCCTGGTCAGGCATTAAGTGTCCCTCGACTGGAGAGGCGGGGCCCCTTCTTGAGCTCCCCTCCTCCCAGGTCCCGTGCTCTCTACTGGGGCATGAGTTTCCCTTACATGGTCGGGGGCTTGAGCCTTCGGCCCCCCTCCTCCCTTCTACTCTCACTGCTTCCCCTTTGAGAGGCCTCAAGGGCACTGAGAGGTCAAGATTTAGAGCTGACCAAGCTTGGGATGGGTGGAAGGAGAGGGAAGCCAGGCCTCGGGAGGGGGGTGGAAACAGGGGCCATTGGCAGGCACTGGGTTCCACCTGTTGCTTGCAAGTGCTGGGTGAGAGGAGGGGGAGCAGGGGTCTGCTTGCAGCTTGGGGACGGGACTGGCTGTTCCTGCTGAGACGCTGCCGGGGTGGGGGGGGGGGGAGAAAGGAGTCTGAGGCCAGAATGCCCTGGTGTGACCTCCTGAGGAGTCTGAGAAGGAGGGGCAAAGATTCCACCATCCTGCTACCTCTAGACACCAGCCCTCACCCCAACACACACACATCTTTGCCTCCTGGACCACCCATTCCCATCACTCACCGGCCACCTCCACAATGTCCCCAGGGACAATGTCCCGAGCCTTGATCCTTTGCACTGACTTGCGGTCAGCCCGGTAGACCTTCCCCATCTCAGGCTCATATTCCTTCAGAGCCTCTATGGCATTCTCTGCATTACGCTCCTGGGGAATAGGGTGGAGGAGAGGAGGGTCAGCAGGGGACCTCCAGAGGGACTAGGTCATGGAATGGGAGGGGATTGGTTGGAGAGGACTGGGTGGGGAGTAGAGATGGAGGAGCAGGGGTCAGAGTCCTGGGGGAATGAGCGATATTGCAGAGAAGGCATGGATATGCAGTTCTGGCTCCTGGCACAGAGGAGTTGACAAGACTCATCCAAGGGTAGGTGTGTATGTGTCAGGGAAATTGTCACCCATGGCTGAAAATAAGATCATGCTTCAGGTAAGGGGGCTTGGAGGAGGGGAGGAAGGAGAATCAGAGAAAAACAGAAAGCAGGGGATAGGAAAAGTAAGGGTGGTAAGAAGGAGAAGAAAATCAAATTAGCATTTACTGTATTTTTATGCAAATAATGCACACATTATATATTTTTACTAACTGAGCAACCTCCCTCGGTATTTTTCCAAGCAAGCTATGCTGCGCATTATATGTGTGAGTGAGTTATTTATGTGGCTTCATTATTTGCAAAAAATATGGTATTGATTTCCTATTATACGTCAGGCACAGTGCTGGGCACTTGCATACTCATCATCTTTTTAAATTTCACCACAACACTGAAGGACGGGATCATGAATCTTGTTTCGAGGGGCTCAGAGAGATGAAGGAACTTGCCCAGGGTCATGTAGCCAGCAAGAAACAGTGGAAACTCCAGTCTCCCACCTCTTCCCAATTCACCTCCCTATTTCCAAATTGGGTGAGAGGACCAGAGGACAAACCAAGTCAGGCAAAGCGATGGAGGATGGGGAGACTGGCGAGGAAAGGCTAGTCTCCCGTTTAGTGTCAGGACTGAAAGGAGTGAGGAGGAATCAAAGCTAACCTGCCAAACCCCCACGATGGCGTTGGCAACGAGGATCAAGAGGATGACAAAGGGTTCAACAAAGGCCGTGACGGTCTCTTCACCTTCCTCAAACCAGGCCAGCACCTGGGGAACAGGGGAAGAGGTAAGAAAGCCCCCCAAAGAGGTAAAGAAAGGAAGTGGAGGGAGTCCAAAGACTACAGAAAAGTGAGAACATGAGTGAAAGCTAATGGCGCAGGGTAGGGCATCATGGGGATCCTACAGCCCCCCAACTGGCTGAGGTCCTACATGCCTCATCAGCTCATTCTCAGGCATGCACTGCCACCAGCGTTACTCAGTGAGAATAGGCGGGCACAGACATGCACAACTCAGGGATTAACTGGAAATGCTTACAGGTTCCCCTGACTGAGTCGTCAGCTTGTAAATGAAGCTCAGGGGACAATTAGGCCAACTACCCCCACCTCCACATCCATCCCGCTAGAGCCAAAACCCACAGGAAAAACCCTGCGGTCCTCACAGGCGCCTGGCCCACCCACAGCCCTCCCCTAAAGCCCAAGGCAGGGTAGCTCCAATTTCACCAGAGGGAGCAGGAGGGGGAGGATAGGGTTACGGGGCCTCCTGTACACACCCCGCCCCAGCTGTTGCCACTGCCCGGCAACAGCCACAGGCAAATGTCAAGGAGCAAATCTGAGCGGGGAGAAGAGAGGCCCTGCCAGCTAGGACTCAGGTGCCTCTACTAAGGAGACCAGAGGACAGGGGGGCTTTTTTGCCTCCACGGCCTTGTCTTCCAACAGGACTAAAATGTGAAGGAAAAGACCCCAAAATGCAGGATGGACTGCTGCGGGTGGGTGCTGAGAAGTCACACTGGAGGGGCTTGTGGATACTGGAGGGGAGGTCTCCAGGGCAGGAAAGATGGAAGGGCCGTGAGGATGGAAGGAGTCGGGGAGAGCGTAGAAGGGGTAGAGGTAAGGCCAGGCCAGGCAGGTGAGGAGGAAGGTATTCCAGGAGTTCCAGCCCTCATGAACCGAGGTGGGTATGAAGCCATAGGAAGGGAGAGATCTGGGCCTTGGGGCCAATTTGGAGTAACCATCGCACCAGCAGCTCTTTCCCGCTTCTATGAGGGAGTATTTCCCTGGACCAATCAGCGTCAGGAGGGCGGGGCAGGGCGCCAGAATGCCCCGGGATTGGTGGAGCGGCGCGCGAGCCCCGGAGCATGCCGGGAGTAGTAGTCTCTGAGCCAGGAAACCGCGGCTCGGCTCGGGTCTGAACCTTCGGGAATCCGGGCGCTTGGGGGCGGTGACCCAAGCCCTCCAAGCCCTTGAGGCTGGCGAGGTGGTTTAGCTTCAGTATTTCGATTGAGAATACCCTTAAAGCTTAAAATAAAACCTATCTTCGGGGCGTGGGGGAGAGGGGAGGAGGACGAGAATCAGCATGTCCCCCTCCCCAGCTCTGGTCTGTGAAATAGGATGCTGAGGGCTTGGACTAGAGGACTGGAAGATTGGGAGCCCCCCTCACCTTGGCCGAGAGCAGACTCTCCAATCCCCCCAACTCACCCCCAGCCAGCCTCCATACGCACTCCCACACTTACAAAGGAAATGCAGGCGGCCAGGAGAAGGATCCGCACCAGGAGGTCTTCAAACTGCTCTACCACCAACTCCCACAGGGACTTTCCTGGGGGAAGGGGCAAAGGGAGGGCCCCCCCGGGGCTAAGGTCAAGAGGATGAATGTCTGGGACTCCAGGTGAAGACTGGGGTCCAGAGGCTGAGAGTGCCCTGGATTCAGGTGGGGTCTACGGGCTGAGAGTGCCCTGGATTCAGGCCTGAAGCAGGGAGGTCCTGGGGTGATGGGCAGGCAGACAGCTGAAGAAAAGGGCTGAGGTAGCTGCCTGGAGTCCAAATACAGGCTCCTCAAAGTGGTGGGCAGTTGTTCAAGGGTTGGATACTTCCAGGAGAAAGTGACTGGAAACTTCTGCGCCCCCCACCCCCCAGACTCTAACTCTGGGGAAGGGGATATCTGTCCAAGGAGTGGGTAGGGAGAAGTCAGAAGGGAGTGGGACACGAATGAGAGGGAAGGTCATTTATAAGAGCTCAGAAATGCCAGTAACTTACCTTCCTCAGTAGGGAGCTCTGCCCAAGGAAAAAGAAGAAAAGGAAATATTCATTTGGGGTTCAACCCAGTGCCCCCCAAACCCAGGACTTTGTGGCTAAGAAAATCAGGCTACCCAAAGGGCAGCTGAGGTTCACCAAGGTCGTCCTGTAAAATTTCACAGAACTCTGGGTCTCAGGGACCCTGTTTTCTCAGTATCCTCTTTCCTCCTGCAGCCGTTGGACCACAGCCTAGCTCATCCCTAAGATACCCTGGAGGGAGAGGCTCCGTTATGTGTGTGGAGGGTATGTGTGTGTGTGTGGGGGGGGGTGCAGGAGGGCATTACCAGCCTTATCAAGGAACACTTACCATTGTGGCCGTATTTCTCCAGGTGCCGCTTAACTTGGTCTGGGGGGAGGCCTGTGGTCTCACTCACCCCAAAATAGGCCAAACATTCCTCTGTGGTCTTGGAGTGTGCAGCCTCCATCGTGCTCCCTTCCTGGGGGCCGGGGGCAGTGTGTTTCTTCTGGGGGGGGTCTCACGTGTGGGGGGCCTTCCTCAGTATCCACCTGCCTGTGTGTCTGGGAGTCTTGCTTTTTCTCTCCTGCCCCCCCCCAGGTTTTTCTTCCCTCCACGAAGCTCTGACCCCCGTCCCACTTGCAGCAGCCGGCCACCCACCCCCCCAACCCCCAGCTGGTCCTTATGAGGGAGTGGGGGGGCCAGGTTCCCCCTCCCCCAGATCAGGGATTGGCTGGCTGAAACTCCAGCAGGAGGGGTTAGATGAGAGAGGGATTTCTGCTGACAGCGGGGGAACAGTGGGGCTGCAGCCTGAGATGTCACTCATAGGAAAGCTAAGGTGGCCCCAGCCCCAGGGGAGGGGGGTAGGAAGAGACCTCACTTTCTGTCTTCTGCTTACTGACCCCTCCCCCAATTGCCTCAGCTTCATCAGTTGCACTGAATTTCCCATCCCCAGCGCATCCCCCAGCTCTTCTCTTAGGCACTTCTACTCTCAGGACTTCACCTTGCATTCTCCTCACAACCCCCTTCCCTTCTTGTCCACCCTCAGCCTGTTTCCACAGCCATAGTCTCCTTCCTCACTTAGTCTGTTGAAAGGGCAGCAGATACCCGAGGCCTTCTAGGCACTGAAGAGGGGGAGATCATCTTTTGGGGGTCAGAGGAAGTGGCTCTAAGAGACAAGGAGAAGTAGGGAAGGGAGAGGGTCAAGTGGACAAGGCAGAAGATGGTAACCCTACCCTAGGGAGGGGTTGCCGCAGCCATCAACAAGGGATTTAGTGTCCAGGCCCTGGTGAGCATAGCCAGGACTGCCTGTCTCTCCCCCCAAACACTCCCCCCTCCCATCACTTTAACTTGGCCTCCAGGAACACAGCCTTCAGGGCCCCCCCATCTCTGACAGGGAATCCCCCCCACCCCCAGGAAAATGGGATACCCAGGCAGCTGGGTAACCCAAGAGGTTGCAGAATGTGCTGATGGCAGAGGGGGAGGGATAAATATTTCAGGGTGGGGGTGGGGGTCCCCCCAAGTCATCCCACACTGCCCTCTCAACCTGAGGGGTTTACGCGGCAGCTCCAGACGGTGTGTAGTCCTCACTGCATTCTGGCCCTGATGGTATTGGGCATACAGCACTGAAAGAGGCACCCAGGAAGGGGGCCTGGGAAGCTGGATAAAGCAGAGGGGGTCAGATTTATGGGGACAGATCTAGAGAAAATAAGGGCAAAACAGAGCTGGGGGAAAGAAAGGCAGAGAGACAGGACTGCAGGGCCGGAGAAGTCAGAGGAGCCGTGGGGAAAAGGGGCAGCAGAGAGCTGGCCTGCAGTAATCAGAGGGGCAGGGGCCAGGGGCTGGGTGCAAAGCCACAGGTTGCTGAGCGGCTGGCCATGGTGTCAGCTTCCTCAGAGAAGCAGCTGCTCTGAGCCGCTGCAGAGTGGGGGCATCTTTTGGTTACCACCACGGCAGCTGCTGGGGGAGCAAAACAGAGGGTACCATGGGGTAGGGGCAGTGGCGGGAAGGAGGGCAGAGAGAGTAGAGAGTTTCAATGAGAGTAGTGGTGAGAAGGTCAGGGAGGGGAAGGAGCCACGTGAGCCTGGGATCAAGTCCTTCCTTTGTCTAGACCTCAGTTTCCTGAAACGAAAAGTGAGGAGTACCGGGTCACTGAAAGGGTTCTTAATGCTGCTTCCAGCTCTGAGCCGCGAATGACCGAGGGAGACAGTGGGGCGAAGGAAAGGAAAGCCCCCAGCTTTGGAGAGTGGGGATGGCCAGCAGGGATGGATGGAACTTAAGGATTTAGCCCCCAGACACATCTCTTCTTCTGCCTGTACTTACAGGAGGAGCAGCCTCCTGGGTGAGTTGAGGACATGGTGCTCTGTCCCTCCCACAGCAGAGTCCTGCTGTGACCTGGGGGATACGGTGAAGGGACTCAGACAATAAGGCACGGCGTGTTGAGGTCACATCAACAGGCACCTCCACCTGACCCCCCGACTCCTCCATCTGCCCCAGCACCCACCTTTTCAGGCCAGAGTCGGACTCAGCATCTGCCAAGCCTTTGGCACTGGCTGGCTTCTCCCCACCACCACCTGGATGAGCGTCAGGGGCCACTGTCTTAATGGAACAGGAATGCCCAAACACGGAGAAGGGGATAAGACAGGAGAGACGGGCAGCTTCAAGAGAGTCCACAGCATGAGCTGAGGAAAGGAGGCAGGCTTTACAGGGCATTCCTGCCCACAGTGCCCTTGAAGGTTATTCATTTCTACCTCCTCTAACTTCCCTCCCAGAGGGGGAAACTGAAGCCAGAGAGGGAAAGCCACCAGCCAAGCTGCAGAAGGATCATCATCAGGGAGGCAGGGCGTTTGAACTGGGATGGAGGAAGGCTGAGCAATGAGGTGCTCTCTGGAATCTCTTCCCATTGGGGGTCTCCAAGCCTAACAAATGTAGAGTTAGATGCTCTAACCGCTCTTATCTGAGGGCTGAAGTTGAAGCTGGGAGGGTGGGAGAGGCCCCAGTTCTAAGGGATGTGGAGGTCGAGCTTGGACTCTGGGCCAATTTCTGACTAGTTCTGAGCCTGGTTTAACCATCTGTAAAAAAAGGCTTAAAGGGAAAGTCTCTTGGGCCCCTCCATCCAAGACATGCAAGCTATTGGGATGTCCTGGGAAGGCAAGTCCCTGAAGGCTGGCAGGGTTGGGGGGGAGGGGCTGGGAGCACCAGCTGCTTCTAGATTAGGGAAAGGATCAGGTCCTGTTTACCCTGGGGCGCCATGCCATCACTTGCCATCCCGCTTTGAGAACACAGCATCCAGATTCCCAAACCATCCCTCCCTTTTCAAGGCCAATTCTATCTCCAGTTTTCTGAGGCCAAGGTTTGGGGAGCCCCAGGGATTAGGTAAGTAGGGAGAGCCAGCAGCCTTGCCCTGCTAGCCCCGAGCCGGGGTGGCCTGTGAGCCCAGCTGTCTCCTGTCCATCTCCCGACAGGATGCGAGGCCCAGAATAGCAAGGTCATGAGCACGGGTAGGGACTTCTGGAGGTGGGGGCAGAGACTGAGGGGTATGAAGGAGCGTAGGCTCCTCCACCTGAGATGGCAAGTAAGAGGTGGGATGTAAGAGGCAGAGCTGGATGGAGGTGGAGAGGGCCAAGAAACAGGTGGGATTCTTTAGACCCTGGCCCCATCATATTGGCACCTACCACCTCACAGCTGGGAAGCCCAGGGACGCTAGTTCATAGTTCAGTAAGACTGATTTAGAGAGCAGAGGTTATACGTTATGGGGGGCAAAGGAGTGAGAGGCATGGGAGGTAGGTGTTGCAAACTCAATGCCCAAAGGACAGGCAGGCATGTGTGTGAAGTGGGCTGGTGGAGATGGAGCAGACGTAGAGGTGGACCCCATGTGGCTGGATCTTCTGATTTTCAACAGAAGCTAGTAACTCAAACTTTAATGTGAAATTCAAACGGTAACATGATCATGGCCAAACAAATCACATGGGTAGCTCCAACGTAGATTAAAGCTTGCAGTTTACAGATGAGTATACTGAGGCCCGGAGTGGCGACACTGTGCCCAGGTCACACAGCAAGTGAGAAGCACAGCTCAGACTGGAGGCCAGTGCTCTTTGTCCCCATCCTCCTGCTTCCCAGTCTGGCTCCAAGAAGGGGGCAGTCAGCCTGCCCTAGGACCTCTGCAACCAGACTCTGGGGCTGCTGCATTAAATCCCTCCCAACAAAGCCACCATGCCCACCCTCGCTTTCTCTGTAGGGTAGGAAGTCTTAAGAATTCAGAGTGGGAAGGGTTCTTGGAGATCATCAATCCTGCTGTTCCTTCTCCTCTCCCATTAAGGGTACTTGGTAGCTGGAGACCTCAGGAAGCATTATTTCACTCTGCACTTACCAATGTATTAGCAAACAGCAAAGCCCACAGAGGAGCCATGAGCCTGAAAGTACAGGCTGGACAGTACCAAGGGCCTCTCCATGCCGCAGCTCACAACACTGGGTGAGCTGCCTCCCACCCACCTGTCCCAGTTCCCACTACAAACACTGGCCACAGCCGTCAGGGAAGAACTGAGATAAACCCTTTATTTATGCTTCTCCACTTTGTTTAAAACAACAACAACAACCTTAATGTAACTAACAGCCCTTCGCCCTCACCCTTCCTTGGGCTGCTGCTGTTGTTAGTTTCTGTCCAGTCGATTTCTGACTCATGGCCACCCCACGCGGGCAGAGGAGAACTGCGCTCCACAGGGTTCTCAAGGCTGTGACCTTTCAGAAGCATGGCCAGGCCTTACTTCTGAGGCGCCTCTGGGTGGGTTCGAACTGCCAACCTTTTGGCTAGTAGGAGTCGCGCACTTAACCGTTTGTGCCACGAGGCGGTGGTTAATGGGGAAATGGCCCCCAGAAGTGGGGCTGACCGTAAGAGCCCCGCAGGGAGGTAATGGAGCCCAAATCCCCTGCCCAGGGGAAGGGGCACCTGTAGTGTATGAACTGGGAGTTAACGGGGCTCTGAGCCTGTTCTTGTACCAACACATACACCCTTGGCCAACGAGGGTCCGGAAGCATGTGGGGAGGGGATTCTACCTCTTCTCTGTGTCCCTATCCAGCCCTAAACGCAAAAACCGAGGGCTGGGGAGCGAAGAGTGGAGAGGGGGTGGGGTGGGATATCTCACACGAACGAATACTGGTTATTAATGGCTCTGGGATGGCCCCCTTCTCCGTCGCCCCCTAGCGGTAGCTGCTGCAGCTGCACTGTCAAGGTCATCCCCACATCCCCACCAGATCCAGCGCTTCCCTGGGCCTCCGTGCCTGGTCCTATGGCCTCTTCCAATTCAACCACGGGGACCAGCTCAACCATGGGGACCAGCTCTTCCTGGACCCCTCCACTGCCCGCTTTCTCTTTCTCTTGCCTCTCTTTGGCTGCTGTGGCTGTTGCTGCCGCCCCTTCTGGCGCCCCCGACGCCTCTTCTGCCCCAGGATATGGGGGATCTGTCCATGAAGGGGGTTCAGAGGGCTGGGGTGGGTCATGGGAGGTGTTCGATTCTGGATAAGAATGGTAAGAAGATAGACTGATTGTGGAAGGAGGCAAGCTCTTATAGTGGCCTCCCCTTCACTCGTTCCCCCAGGAGCCATGTGCTATCTCCCCCATATCCCGTCTCCTGAGCAACCCCCCATCCATGGAAGATGGATCATGGGCGGCGGTGAGAGGAGGACCACACTTACACACAGTCACTCGCTCCGAAGGGCATGAGGGTGGAGGAGGCATCGGGGTGGCATCGATCTCCCTCGCACACCCCTGCATGGCTCCCGGCCTGCTCCCGGCCTGGGGGGAGGGGCAACGGGGGGGCAGATGGGACGTTGGGATGGGGAAAAGGGAGAGATCAGACAGGGACATCAGACATCAAGGGAGGAGGGTAGGGGGGCAGACTGAGCAATCCCCAAGAAGGGCAGGCCCAAGGCAAGGTTGCGACAAAGGGCAAAGACAAGGCTGGGAGGATGGGTCTGGGAAACAGTCAGATGATGGAACGAGGAGTCCGATGGAATGGGATGCACCAGCCCAACTCTCAACTCCCGCCCGGCTCCAGCGAAGAGCCCTCTGCCTTCCTACATCCTAGCAGAAGCCTCCTCTACCCTGCTCTCCCCTAGCAAAGCCTCTCCTCCTCACAGCCCCCCGCCCCATCTTTCTGGCACACACACCTCACTTCTTGGGTGCACGGGCACCTCCTCCCCTGCAGACCTGCTCTGCTCACCCTGCTGCCGCTGGGAGGATACGACATAGCTGACAAGGACAACGTCACTGGAGCCTCCAGACTCCAGAGGGATGGGGTGCACCTGGAAATGCTCGAGCATATCGAAAATGGACTGGAACCACAGGTGCTGGACCCGGCACTGACCCTCCTCGTTCAGCGACAAACGTAGGTGCTGAGGGCAGGACGAGCAAGGTGAAGCGGGAGCTGAAGCCCAGCCAATTATAAAACCCACCTTTCCTAGACAGTAGTGTCCCCCCTCCACCCCCCAAGCTCTCTGCATGGAGTGGAGCCTTTGCCCCAGAGTCACTCACCTTGGCCTTGCCTTGGAAATTGAAAGTGAGGACGTATTCACCCCGCCTCGTCTCACTCTGTCGTACCAGGAACACGCCATGGGAGCCAGTACCTCCTGCTAACACTAACTGGGCAGCCTTGAGTCGAGAGAGCATCCCATGGAACCAAGGATATCCTGAGAGGGGCTGGTCCCCCTCACCTCCCTCTGACTCCCCCTGGAACAGGAATGACCCTTCAGGAAGGAGAGAGGGAGGGAAAGCGGGGTGTCAGGGAAGCCTTCCCCATCATGGAGAATAAAAACCTTGCTCCCCCCTCGAGGTGCCTCCTCCCCTTAAGTGTCATTTCCCTCCCCCTGGGTCCGATTCCTCGGGACCCACAGATGGAAGAGGAATCCAAGAAGGCAGGCAACCAGGCCTGGAGGCAGATACACACTCACACCTCTGGTACCTGTGGCCGTTTCCGGAGTGTCCAGGGGAGGGTAAGGGGCTGAGAGGGGATGAACTGTCCCTGGTGGGGGTCCCTCTTCGATGGGGATGCGGGGGGGCAACTCTGGGGGGAGCAGTTCCATTGAGTCAAAATGGGAGGCGGCAATGGAGGCAGAACTGGGGGAGATGGATGCCGAGGGGCGGTCTGAGAGGCCCCCATACGCCCCTGGAAAAAAATGGAGGAGGGCAAAGTTGAGAACGCACGAACTTCGGCAGGACTGGTCTACCTGGGCCTATTTCTCCCCCAGCCAACCTTCGCAGTGCACACTGGGAGTAAGCTGGCCAAGACGCCAACGGCTCCTCACCGACACCCTGTGCATTGCTCAGGGCTGCAGTTATTGTAAGGGGGTCCTAGCATCCGGATGTGCCTATATATTTTCCAAATCAACGGCTAAAATTACAGCTACTGCTGCAAAGGCAGGGGTGGGCTCTCTAATATTATGACATTTAAAAGGGGTCCTTTTTTTGGCTTACAGGACAGTCACCAACTCAAAGAGGCATCTAAGATCCTCCTTCCACCAATCCCCCCTAACCTAGCCCCCTTTATCTTTACCTCAGTTTATGTACCCTCTACTTTAACCCAATTATCCTACCTAATTTTCCCAAATCTCCTGGGCTCTCCCTACCTCAGGCGTCTGCTCTAATCATCTGCCTCCCTTCAAGCCATGTTCATTTCTCTCACCTCCTCTGTATAGTGCTCCCTGCCTAGCCCACCCTCCCCTATTCGCTCTCTTCCTCCTGGGCTGCCAAGGCGCTTCCTGTCGTGCTGCTCAAAGGACACCAGCACAGGCTCTCTTTCTGGGAACTGCTTCTGACAGGGGATGCCTGTGAGCCCGTGGAGGGCCAGGGGCGCATCTCAGGCACCTCCAGCTTCCCCTACCCTGCCCAGGGCCTAGCACAGGGCCAGGCCTGGACTAGGCCTTCCTGAATGTTTGTCAAGCAGTAGGCCTGAGCCTACGTGAATGCTGTTACATAGTCAGTGCTCAGGAGAAGGCCATCCGGGTGGGCTGAAGAGAGCAGTGGGTCAGGAATCAGGAGGCTCCTGTCTTTGTCAACTGATGCTCAGGTGGCCTCAGAAAAGCCATTTTACCTCCCTGGGTCTCAGCAACCTGAGAAATGAGGGAGTTGGATCTGATGACTTGTAAGATCCATTCTACCTCCAAGATGCTACAATTCGTTTGTTCACTCACTAAACACAGCCTGTGTGCCAGGCACTGTGAAGATGAGCCCAGAACGAAGGGGCAGGAGGGACAGTGGAAGCCAAGTCAGGAAAGGTGAGCAGTGCTGGCCAGGGAGGCCCATGCCTTTGTGTGTCTATGTGTGGGGGTAGGATTCATGTCGGTTTGGTCAGGCCAAAAGTAGAGACATAGAGACCTTCGAGAGAAAACGAGGCACCATCAACCTAAGCACAGAGATGCTGAGTGACAGCAAAAGAGAGATGTTTACAACGTGTTCTGGCAGCATGGACAAGAGAAGCATTATCTCCATCCAGAGTGGGGGGCTGCAGGAGACACTTTCATGGAAAGGATGCAAGGCTGGGCGTAGAAGATTGGACAAGAATTTGCTGGGGTCCTGTGGGGTGGTGATGGTGACAGTTCTAAAAGGCAAACCATGGCTTGAGAGTGCCTAGCATGTCCAGGGAAGACAAGCATTCTGGGGTGGGGCGGGGAACAGGAATGGAGTGCACAGCAGAGTCAAGAGAAAGGGTCCAGGCCTGACAGCAGGGGTTCTTGCAGGGCAGGTTCTGAGAATCACAGCTCTCTAAGACTCTGCCCTTACCCTGTGACAGGCGGTCGTTGCTCTCGCTGGGTCCCAGTGGCAGATCCTGGCTGGGCAGGCTCTCTGAGTGATTCAGGCAGGGCAGCTCCAGGCTGTCTGGGTTCTCCCTTGTAAGGAATGAGGTTCCAGGGACCAGAGGGAGGGTCATGGGCCGGGGACTGGTAGCAGGGCAGGGTCTGCAGAGACAGGGAAAATGGTGCTGGGAGGAAAGTCACTAGGAGAGGGTACAAAGCTGTTCCCCATCCCACTCCCAGGTCCCCTCAGTGACTGCAGTCAGGCCCCTCACCCTGGGCTCAGGCATTCCTGGATGTCAGACACCCAGGCCTTCACATGTAGAGCATCAGTTGTCTCCAGGATATACTCTGAGGGGCCTTCCACCTATGGGTCAAGAGGGGGGACAAGAGGAGGGCCTCAGCCAGGGCAGGGGGCAAGGAGGAGGCCCACAGGCCACTTCCAGGTCCTGAGGCCCTAATCCACCCCTAATGAGAACAAGAACCGATTCCCTCTCTTTCCCTCTCCCAGAAAAGCTGCAGCCCCAGAGACACACTCTCAAGGAACTTAACGTATACACACCTCCTTCCACTAATGTCCCTTGCTTAAACGTACTGAGAGCTTTCTCCCCAACACACGTGCTCCAAGGGGTGGGGAGCTCAAAGCTCCTACCTTAACCACGAACGTGTTCTCCCGGTCAGGCATCTCCAGGGCTGTGGTTGTCCGGACATCCGTGATAGTAGAGCAGGGAATGCTGAGTCGGGGCCGAGATGCCTAGATTAGGAGAACAAGATCCAGACTTGGGGTATGCAGAGACCATTGTCCCTCCCCCCACCCCCAAGATTCAGCTTTCCTTTTACACTCTATGGGAGTTAGACAAAAGCACTGCTTTCTCAGTCCTCTCCACAGCTACTAACCCAGAGCCAGGAGCTAGCTTTACAAAAAAAAAAAAGTAAGCAAAGCTAGGTGTGTGGGCTGGTAAACCACCAGCTTATCTGCAGGGCTGAGGTACCACTCTGGCTGCTCTATCACTTGCTCTCCCAATCACCCACTCCCCTCCGGGCCTCACCTTGGGTGGTACAAAGAACTCCAGGCGGCTTCCTCCTCCTCCTTCTCCTTCGCTTCGCAGCAGTAAGCGACACTTCTGCCACTGAGGTTGCCCTCCTCCCCCTGAGGTTGGCCCGGCTGCCCCTCCTCCCCGGCCCACTCCAGCTGGGTCAGGGGCTGCTTCTTCAGCCCCCATGAAACTCAGCAGCTCTTCCCTCTGCACCATCCCTGCACCATCCTTCAAGGTCCCCCCTCCCCGACTCAGTCTCAGCCTCTCAAAACGGTGAGTCCATCTTTCCCCAGGGGACGTGCCATCACTAGTCAGTCCCCTACCAATGGTCCCAGCCCCACCAGAGGAGTTGGAGTTGCTGTTTCCACCTAAGACTGGGGGGCCCGATGAGGTCTCCAGGGCCCCAGCCGGGGAGGGAGGGTCAACGGTTCCCCGCCACTGTAGGATGCCACGGACTGAACCTCGGACGGAGCGGCCCACTGAGCGGAGGGAGAAGCGTTTCTTTAGCTTCGGCTTCGAAGATGCCGCAGAAGAGGAAGAGACTGAGGAAGGGATGGGGCAGGCCAGGTCCTCAGATGATAGAGAAGGGCCCAGCACAGCCAGGGGCCCGCCCACCCTGCAGCTGTCCAGGGGCAGGTCATGTGGTGGGATCTCCACTCCAGGGCTCAGGGGAGCCAAGATGGGTGGTGAGAGGGAGCCAGAGGCACGGGCCACCTCAGCTTCAAAATGCTGCAGGAAGAGCTCAGCAAAACGGCGGGAGAAGGCGGCCTCAGCCCCAGGCCCTGCATACTGGGGGTGGGAGGCCAGGTAGAGGCGGAAACGGCGGGCAAAATCCAGGGCGGCAGCCCGGGCATGAGACTCGCAGAACTCCCGCCAACTTGGGGGAGGGGGTGGTGGCAGCGGTGGAGGGGAGGGGGAAGCCCCATCCTCCTGGGAAGGGGCACCATTCATGATGGTCCCCAGGAGGTAGAGAGGGGGAGCCTGTGGGGAGGGGCAGCAAAGAGGGAAGTGGCTGGAAGACACGGGTTGAGCGGCAGCAGCTGCAGAAGGAAGAGAGAGGCACATAGAGAGTCACTGCTGGGGGGGTGGGACTGGGGGCAGGGCCCCACCCCGAGCCAGAGACTCCCTACTCTGCTTTAGACACCTCAGAGAGCAGTGGAGGAAAAAACTAAACTGCCTCCTTTCCCTTTCCCAGATCCTCGCACCCCACAAGTCCCAAGAAACCAGCTCCCCAACGTCTGGCCTGTAGCTATCCAGCTGTCTTCTCAACCCACTTTCCCTGGTTTTGGTTCCAGAAGTGAGGGAGGGCTTGAAGCACCTTCCTCCAAAAAGGAAGCTTTTTCAGATCACCTCCTTCTCCAAAGTGGATCCTTCAGTATCTATTACACGTTTCTCATTACCTTTCCCTGTGAGAAGTTTTAATAACTCCCATAATATATAAAAAAGGAGTCTTGGTGGTGCAATTGTTAAGTGCTTGGCTGCTGACCAAAAGGTCAGCAGTTCAAACCCACCAGCCACTCCGCGTAGAAAAGACCTGGAGATCTGTTCCCATAAAGATTACAGCCTAGGAAACCCTCTAGAGCAGTTCTGCCTGTCCTATAGGGTCACTACGAGTCAGAATTGACTCAATGGCACACAACAACATAACACATGGGGAAAATGAAGCTCAGAAGTTTAAGGATTCCAAGTCTACTGCTTTTCCCATGGCATAGTCCTTGTCCCTGGGGACTGGCTGGTCTAGCCTTCACCATAGCCCCTGACTGCCCCAGCTCTGGGGGGCCAGAGGGAAGCTGAGCCTACAGGGCTTAGAGATCCAGCCTCATGCAGCCCACCCTCCAGCTCTGAGGAAGGAGGTTACTCATTAGTGGGGATGGATGAACAAAGGACTGAAAGAGCAACTGTCTTGAAAGCTGACGCCAGGGCCCGGAGCCCAAGCGCTGTGTAAAAGAGGCTCGGAACGGCCACGGCCTACTTCTTTGGTGCCCCTTCAGTCCGGGGCCCAGAGGCAGTAGCATCTGGGGAAAAGAGACTGTAGGTTGGGCTGGTCACATAACAGAGAGCTGGGGGTCCTAGGACTTTTCATCTCCCCTATCTCTTATTGTGGAGTGTGTCCTAAAGGCTGGTTAGCCTGGTGATTAAGGCCATGGGTTCTGGAGTCAGACTTAGAATCAAATCCTAGCTCTGCCACCGATTAGCTGTGTGATCTTGAACAAATTACTTGTCTTCTCTGACCCTCAGTTTTCTTAACTGTAAAACAGAACTAATGATCCCTATCTCTTAGAATTGTCAGGAGAATTAAATGGAATGTTAGTGCTTGACACAAAGTAAGCACACAATATATTACTGCCATCGTTTTTGTAGGAGAGAATAGTATTATGGTTCCAATCTTCTAAAAGGGAAATCAGAGAAAGGAAAAGGTTTACCAAGATCTTACAACTAGAAAGTGGTGGTGCTAGTCATAGAATTTACAATTCATGGTTCTTTTGTTAGTGCTCCTCTGTCCCATAATACTGGAAGATGACAGTCCCCAGACTAGGTGAGGGCAGCTCAGGAAAGTCTCCCTAAGCCCTCAGAAACCTCAGACTCCTGCTCAGATGCACAGCTTCACAGCCCGGCTCCAAGTCGGCCACCTCTCCCTCCTCCTTGGCCTAGGCCCTACACATTCAGCAGGCCCCAACCATAGGGACAACTCCAAAGCAAGAGAAGAGGCCAAGAGATGCAGGAGTCACGGAGCGCGGGGGAATAGAGCCAAGAGGTGCCGACACAGCACACAGGCAAATTTCCAGCCAGAGGCCACCTCAGCTCACACAGGCCCACCCAACCCTCTGCACCACGGGCAGACCCAGCCCCCGTCAGGCCCGCTGACCCTTCGGCTCCTGAACTGGTGACTCAGTTTCTCTTCTCCCAAGCACGACTCAGACACATTCTCCGGGTGCACCTGCCTCCTCGCTCAGTTCTGATACTTCCCAAAAGAGCGGGTGGCGGAGGGTGCAGGCTCCGCTCCGGGCTCGGACCCTCCGGGCCTGGTGCTCAATCGACTCCGACTTGACGCTACTCCCCGGACACCCCCGCCCGCCCCTTCCCGAGGCCGCAGCCTTCTGGGGACCAGCCCTGTCTGCTGCACCCCCTCCGGGGTCGCGCGCACCTCCTGTCCTGGCCCCCACCCACCCACGTCCCCCATTCAAGGCTCCTCTCAGGTGCTGGGTCTAGATCGCGGAGAGAGAAAAGGTACTTGAAGGGGGGGTTCCGGTTCCGGTCCCACCTGCATCTCGGTCCCCGCGGTTAGCTTCGGCGGCGGCGGCGGCGGCAGCGGCGGCAGCTCCCACCCCCTCCCCGCTCTCCGCGACCAGTTCCCAGCCCTGTTCTGCGCAGGCGCTGGGACCCCTTTTCCCGTCACCGAAGGAAGAGACCATAGAGAAGAGAGGGAAAGAAAAGGGCACCTTCATACTCACTTCCGCCATCCTTCTCCTCGGCACAGACTCTGGAAGAGCTAATGAGGTGCGAGTCTTGTAGGACTTCATTGACTTTCCCAGTTGAACGTAAAAGGGATCACAGAAGCAGCCATGGGAAGGGGTTGGATCCCACCAAAGCGTCTTCCCAGAGGAGATTCGGGACAAAAAATAGAAGTCAACCATAGAGAAGCCACTTTAAGGGATAGAGTCCCGAGGCCTGGTTGAAGGCTAGAGTAGCCCTTGGGTACCCGCAACCAGCGAGATGATAAGGGCTTCTGGAGAATCCGCTGCAGCCTAGAGCGCCTGGCCCGGCTACTGAGGGAGACGCGGACACCGCCCTCAAGATGCTGGGCGAGGGAAGACGCGGGTGACCTTGGGGAGGCCCCTCGAGGAGGCGGAGCCTAAACTTACGACCTTGGCTTCTCAGAGGAAAGGCGGGTGGTCGACAGGAAAAAAATGTGGGGTCGAAATAATGAGGTCAGTTTTGGACGTGCTTGTGAGACATCAGAAGGCCTATGGACATATAAGCCTGGGCCTCAGAAAAGATATCAAGGCCAGATAGAGAAATCAAGAACCCTTAAGGTATAGAGGATAATTGAAATCATGAACACAGTGAGATCCTCTGTCAGCCTGGTCTCTAATTGACCCAGCTCCAACTGACCTAAACAATCAGGGAATTTGTTGGCTCAAGGGATCCCTGGGTGGGGCAAAGGGTTTTAAAGCACTCTGCCGCTGACCGAAAGGTAGGAGGTTGGAGTACACCCAGAGTTCCTCGAAAAAAGGCCTGGCAATCTACTTCCGAAAAACCAGCCATTGAAAACCTTATTGGGCACAGTTCTACTTTAACACACATGGGGTCCCCGTGAGTGGAAATGGATTTGAGGGCAACTGGTAGTGGTGGTGGTTCAAGTAATTGAAAAGTCCAGAGTGAATCAAAACTTGAGGAACGACTGAATACAGGGCCAAAAGATGTCAGGAATCTGTCTTTCACCACCTCTGGGCTCTGCCCTCCCCATGCACTTGGCTTCACTCTCAGGTGACTCTTCTCTTTTAGTGGTAAGATGGCTTTCCATAGCTTCAGGCTTAAGTCCTGATAGCTTAGCAACTCTAGTGGTAGGAGCATGTCTCTTCTCTGAGATTTCCAGTAAAATTTCCAGAACTGATTTTAGCTGATTGGCTTGGATCAAGTGCCCATCCTGGAACACAGAGACAAGCAAATTCAAGAGATGGAGATGGGTAAATGCCTTGACTCATATATGTAAAGCTGATGCTGCTGAGATGGAGTTGGAAAAACTCATTGGGAAGGGCAAGTTCTGGCCTAGCCACTGTTAGTCTCCCAGCTCTACCCCTGCTCTAACCAAACTAACTTCAGCTCAGAGACGGCCTTTGTAAGGTCTTCATCACCATCTGTGTCCATCCCTCTTTCCAGTTCAGAGGAAGATGTCAACAGAAAGGACCCTATTCCTGAGGCTCTTCCCCCACCCTGCCCCCACCTTACATACCCATTTCTCTGTAGTAGGCTCATGATTGTTTGGGAAAGGCACAGTTGAGGAACACGGAAAAGCAAGAGGCTGATGATGAGTTAGGTTTCGAAGTGTTTAAGCTATCCAATACAGCTTTCTGCGATGGTTGAAATGTTCTGTATCAGCACTGTCCGATATGGTAGCCATTAGCCAAGTGTGGCTGTTGAGCACTTCAAATGTGGCTAGTGTGACTAAGGAACTAAACTTTTAATTATAATAATTAAAATTTAAATGAAAATAGCCACATGTGGCTAGTGGCTACTGTACTGGACAGTCCACGGACAACCAAGTGTAACTGTCCAGCAGAGATGGATCTACAGTCTGAGCTTCACCAAGCAGTTAAGTGATGAGATATAAGTAGTGGTGGAAGCCATGGATATGAATGAGATTGTCCAGGTAGTATATGTAGAGAGAAGAGGCCCAGGACCTAGTTCTGGGGAATAGTCAACATTTTTAACAGGTAGGAAAGAAAGAGTAATAGAAAGTGCTAAGATGACATCTTGGGGCAGGTTTCACAGAAGCACACGCTTAAATGAGGATTTGTGTGCAAGTGATTTATTAAAGAGAGTGCTACCAGGAAAAACCAGTAAGGGAGTTGGGAAGCAGGAGAGGAAGCGAAGCAAGTGTGATCTCAGGCACAGAGTAGTAAAGTCTTGTCATGGTTTGAATTATGTCCCCCAAAAAATGTGTATCAGTTTGTCTGGGCCATGATTCCTGGTACTGTGTGATTTTCCTGTATGTTGTAAACCTGCCTCTATGATGTTAATGAGGGAGGATGAGTGGCAGTTGTATTAGTAAGGCAGGGCCTGATCTACAAGACTGGATTGTGTCCTGAGGCAATCTGTTGAGATATAAAAGACAGAAGCAGTGAGACAGGGGGACTTCATACCATCAAGAAAGCAGTGCCAGGAGCAGAGCGCGTCCTTTGGACCGGGGTCCCTGCGCTGAGAAGCTCCTAGTCTGGGGGAACACTGATGAGAAGGCCAAGAGAGAGAAATCCTTCCCCTGGAGCTGACACTCTGTTTGGACTTTTAGCCTACTTTACTGTAAGGAAATAAATTTCTCTTTGTTAAAGCCATCCACTTGTGGTATTTCTGTTGTAGCAGCACTAGATGACTAAGACAAGTCTGATCCCACAGGGGACCTCTGGAGGTAAGTTATGCCTCAGATCTGTTTGGAAACAAAGGAGCTGGGCCTTTCGTACTCCAACATCCCTCAGTCATTCGCTAAGAGCTAGCCCTGGGAGATGTCACTTCTCAGGTGCTTCCATCAAGGCAAAGCCTCCAGTAGCCTGAGGGCATTCCTCAAAAAAAAAAAAAAAAAAAAAAAAAACCCTGGAAGTTCTAACTGTCCAGAGTGAAACAACACACCAAAGACCAGGGGGTGTAGGAGTATAGGAGGTGTGGGGGAATGGGCAAACACACAGATGATAAAAAGGGATCCAAGGGATTCTGGGCTGTGCACTGCCATCGTCTCCTACAGAAGGAATTCATGGCTAAGAGATCGCTAGGTGACCTTGGTGAGTAATTTTAGGGAAGTGGTGGTAGCAGAAGCCAGAATGTAGTGGATTGAGGAGTGAATGGGAGGTGAGGAGTTGGGGGAGGAATGTGGAGAGCTGTCCTACACAGCTTGGCTGAAAACGGGAAGGAGAGATACAGATATGGAGGGTTATAGCCCTGGTGGTGTGATGGTTAAGTGCTCGGCTGCTAATAGAAAGACTGGTAGTTTGAACCCACTAGCTGCTCTGAAGGAGAGAAGACCTGGCTATTTGCTCCCATAAAGCTGTCAGCCTAGGAAACCCTATGGGGCTGTTCTACTCTGCCCAATAGGGTCACTATGAGTTGGAATTGACTCGACAGCAGACAACAACAACAGTTAGAGAGAGGGGAAGGTTTGCTTGTTAGTTTATACCCTGAGGGAGACTTGATTATGTTGGAAGTCTCAGGGCGACTCAGTAGAGAGGGTAATTGATGGAACAAGGTTCTCGGTAAGGTGGGAAGGGATGGGATCCAAGTCCCAGGTTAAGCCAAGGTATTGATATGAAGGGGTGAAACACTTCTTTCTCAGAAACGGGATGTAATACTCAGAATGCTTTCAGCTACAAGTAACAGAAACCCCAGTTTAAGCTAGTGTAAACATGAAAAGAAGGGGGAGCTTATCGGTTCACAGAACTGAAAAGTCTGAGGTAGGAATGACTTCAGGTATGGCTGGAACCAGAGGCTCAATGTCAACTAAACTTGGTCTCAGTCTCTTAGCTCTACTTTCCTCTGGACCGTCCTCATTCTTAGGCAGGTGGTCCCCTTGTAGGTTACAAGATGGCCCCCACCAGCTCTAAGCTTACATTCTATCAGCTTAACAACTCCAGCAGAAAAAGATCATGGCTTTCCTGATAGTTCCAGCAAATGAAACAGGCTGGGTCACCCAACGACCATCCTCAGACCAATCACTTATAACCATGAGGGATGGATTATGCTGACTGGTGAACACTGAATCACAGACCCATAATTGGAGATAGGGATGGGGATGGGCTCAACTCCAACCAAACTTCATGGGCAGAAAATAGCAGAGGTGGCTTTTCAAAGGAAACCAGGGGTCTCTGATTGAAGGGGGAGTGGTTGCTCGTGGAGTCCTTTTAAAGATCATCTTCACCCTCCCCTATCCCCAAGAGAAGGAGATTTCTTCTATTTTGTCTTCTTTGCTGGGGTGTCAAATTCAGCCTTGGTACTTTGGCCTGGACTTCCTGCCTCTCCAAACCATACCCTGTTCAATCAGGACATTGTGAGCCTAAAGTACTCCTGCTTCACTCAGGCTCTGCCTCTGAACATACACACATTTCCCTCCTCTGCCAATCTTCCTTTCTCTGGTTTCAGGCTTCAAAGTGTGGCCTCCTTTAGGAAGCCATGCATGGCTCCATGTATGGCCTCCTTTAGGAAGCCATGTATGGCTGAGCCAACTAGGCCACCTCTCGAGTGTGACATTTCCAAAGTGTTTCCAATTGGAATGTCCCCAGTCGTGTCTCAGGGACATGAATGTGTCAGAGCTCTGTGTTCAGAAGGGCATATGGGGCCAGTATGCAGATGGCTGCGGGATGAGGGGCTAGGTCTGGAGGCAAGGAGGAAGTTGGTGCAGTGGTTCAGGAGAGGCCTATAGGCAGTGCTGTAGGTTGGTACCAAGGAGAATGTCCAGAGATTTCTGAGGAGGCATTGCCAGGCTGGCTGGTGAGAATGAAAAGAGTGAAGGATGCCCTTGAGCTTCCGAT